CAGAGGGGTTAAAAATGATGGTGGAATGAGATGATCATTATTATCCAAAGTACAGGTATGAAGACAGGAAATGGTGTGAATATACTTTGTATACAACCAGAGATATGAAAATTGTGCTCTATATGTGTAATATGAATTGTAATGCATTCTGCTGTCATATATTAAATAAATCAATTTAAAAAATTATAGGAAAAAAGTTAAAGGCAGGCCCACCCCTCATTTTCCTCCTGACTCCATTCTCTTTTTTGGAAGTTGCCACTATTAGTCATTTGATATAAATGTCAAGATATTTTTCTATATGTGTGATTTTAATTTTAATTTAATTTATTTATTTGGTACTGGGAACTGAACCCAAGGTGCTTAACCCCAGCTCTTTTTATTTATTTATTTTTTATTTTGAGACAGGATCTCATTTAGTTGCTTAGAGCTTCAGTATCTTGCTGAGGCTAGCCTCCAACTAGCGATCCTCCCTTCTCAGTCTCCCAAATTGCTGGGATTACAGCCATGTCCTACCATGCCTGGTGATGTGTATGATTTTTAAAGAAATAACAAGTGGAAAGGAATGTGTTTCCACATGCAGCAACAATGATGAATCTCACACACATATAGTTCAGTGGAAGAATCCAGACATAAAAAAATACACATGACACTTCCATTTAGTTGAAGTTCAAGACCAATATGCAAAACTAGTTCATAGTGTTAGAAGTCAAAATAGCAGTTGTCTTGGGGGGAGGGGTCACAAGGAGAACTTCTAGAGTGCTGGAAGAGTCCTATATCTTTTTTTTTTTTTTTTTAATACCAGGGATTGAACTCAGGGGCACTTGACCACTGAGCCCCATCCCCAGCCCTTTTTTTGTATTTAGAGACAGGGTCTTGCTGAGTTCTCCAGGTCCTCACTGAGTTTCTGAGGCTGGCTGTGGATTCACAATCCTCCTGCCTTAGCCTCCAAAGTAGCTGGGATTATAGGCAAGTACCATGACAAGTGGGAGTTCTATTTTTTTTTTTTTTATTGTACTGGGGAGTGAATCCAGAAGTGCTCTACCACTGAGCTATATCCACAGACCCCTTTTTTAATTTTAATTTTTTAAAAATATGTTTTAGTTATAGATGGACATAATATCTTTATTTTTATGTGGGGCTGAGATTCAAATCCAGTGCCTCACGCATGCAAAGCAAGTGATGTACCACCGAGCTACAACCCCAGTTCCTTATTTTTTATTTTGAGACAGGGTCTCACAAAGCTGCAGGATAGCCTGGAACTTCTGATCCTGCTGCCTCAGCCTCCCTAGCAGCTGGGGTTACAGGCATGTGCCACCATGCACAGCTAAGCAGGTGCCCTCTGGCATCAGAATGGATCAAACCCCAGTTTGTTAGTTTCTCAACTGTACGGTGTGGGTAGATTGATTTCTCTGAGATGTTTCCTCCTCTCAGATTGGAGGATAATAGGTCTGTAAAAATTACAGACACACATATATAAATTACATATACATATGTATAAATGCACACACACATATACATACACACATGTAACACTTTGCATACAGTAGGTGAATGGTAATTGTAATTATTAGTTTCAACCTTAGTGCATCAATGGCTTTCATCGAGTGCTGTAGAAAAACTGCTGTTCACACAACTGTGGATTGGGCCTCTATGTGCAAGCTTGGAGTGAGTGTGGAGAGGAGATGAATGAATAAAACATGCCTGTCTTCTCAAGGAGTTTGCAATCTACAGGAGACAGGTGAAAAACTTGGGAAAAAAAGTAAATGGAACTTTTAAAATTTTTTTAAAAATTTGTTCTAATTAGTTATACATGACGGTAGAATGCATTTTGACACACTGTACACAAATGAAGCATACTTCTCAGTCCTATGGTGGTACATGGTACAGAGTCACACCTGTAGTATTATCATACATGTATATATGGTAATAAATGTCTGTCTCACTCGACCATCCTTCCCATCCCCATAACCCCACCCCACCCCACTTCCCTCTGCCCAATCCAAAGTTCCTTCATTCTTCCCTACTCCCTCTCCCACTATGGATCAGCATCAGCTTGTCAGAGAAAACATTTAGCCTCTGGCTTTTTGGGACTGGCTTATTTCATGATAAGCATGATATTCTCTAACTTCATCCATTCACCTGCAAGTGCCATAATTTCATTCTCTTTCAGGCTAAGTAATATTCCATTGCATATATGTACCACAGTTTCCTTATCCATTCATCTGTTAAAGGGCATCTAGGTTGGTTCCATAGTTTAGCTATTGTGAAATGAGCTCCTATAAATATTGATGTGGTGCATCACTGTGGTATGCTGATTTTAAGTCCTTTGGGTATAAACTGAGGAATGGGATCCTGGGTATGATGGTTCCATTCCAAATGTTCTGAGGAATCTCCATACTGTTTTCCAGAGTAGTTGCACCAAATTGCAGTCCCACCAGCAATGTATGAGTACCTTTTTCCCGACATCCTTACCTACACTTATTGCTTGTATTCTTGATAATTGCCATTCAGACTCGAGTGAGATGAAATTTTAGTTTTGATTTGCATTTCTCTAATTGCTAGAGATGTTGAACATTTTTTCATATGTTTGTTGATCAATTTTATTTCTTCTTCTGTAAAGTGTCTGTTCAGTTCCACTAAACAGAACTTTTAAACTCAAGTATTTTCTATCCCTCTACTTTTTAAGTCTACACTGACTGAAAGCTATGGAAAAGAAGGGAATAGTTTATGTTCTTATGCTGACATCCATGACAGTTACATTTGTTCCATGGATTTTTCATGGATATATTAACTTTGGTTTTCAGCATTATATACACAGTATAATAATGACCATCTCTAAATACTGACAGTAACAGCTGGACGTGGTGGCATATGCCTGTAATCCCAGCGACTCAGGAGGCTGAGGCAGGAGGATTGTAAATTAGAGGCCAGCCTCAGCAATTTAGCAAGACCCTGTCTCAACATAAATTAAAAGGGTAGGGATCTAGCTCAGAGGTAAAGCATCCCTGGGTTCAACCCCTATTATTTAAAAAAAAAAAACCCTGAAAATATGAATGAATAACACTTCTTCCTATTGACCTCTCTTGCCAGAATGTCTCCTCCATAGCTTTCACTCTTTCAAAAAGATTTTTCTGGTGTTGTCTCATTAACTGGTAGGATTGAATAGCTCTCAGATGGCCAATGTTAGCTAAATGTCCTAAGCAAAGCCATGTTATATTCATCTCCAAACTTATCTGTGAATTAAAATCACCTGAGGATTAAAATAAACTAAAAAATAAATATTACAAAGGTCCCAGGCCACACCCAAGACCAGTTAAATTGCAATGACTGGAGGTGGGACACAGGAACCTGCATTTTTTGAAGCAGACAGGTCTGGGGACCAACCATTACTTAATGGCTAGATCACTGTCTGTGAGATCCAACTGCCTAGAACCAAATCCTAGCTCTAACCTCTCATCCTGAGCAAATTTGCTTCTACTCTCTGTAATTCACATACAAAGTAGTTCTTGCTTTCACAAGGTTGTTATGTGAAAATAATGAGTTAGATAATAAATGTAAAGCACTCTTCATACTGCCCCAATCATGGTAAATACACAATAAA